AGATACCTGGTGTCCTGTGACCAACAATGAACCTTCTGTCCCTCCTCTGCCTCCCAGCACTTCATCAGCAACTCTCTAAAAGTAGTGCTACTGTGATTCTGAACTCAGAAATGGTTGTTAGCTGGCCATCCAATTTAGAAATCTTATCTCTGTGAGATTTACATGGCCCTTTCCTTTCGTTTTCCTTGGGATACATCAACTAATGACAAAGACTTGAACTATGAATGGAGATGCACTGATGTCCAGGAAGAAGTCTGGTCAGAGAGATATGCACAGGTTGCATGGTGACAGAAACCCTAAGACAATGTGTTGTTCTTTTGTTTAAATTACAGGAGAGATGGAACATGAACCAAAAGACTCATTAATCTACATGGAGTTCATTGAGGGGAAAGGGAAGAAGAAAAGGGAGAAGGGGGAGAGAGAAAGAAATGGAGAAGAGAGGCGGAGAAGGGAAAGAGAGAGGAGAGACAAAGGGAGAGAGACGGGACGTGTGGAGGTGTTTGTTTAAAAGGGGAAGTCTGCACATGCATACAGCCCCATAACACGCTGACATAGCCGTGACATGGCCAAGCAACACAGGGCCCTTTGAGCTGCCTAAGTATCTGCCTGAATGCAGATATGCATGTCCCACCCATTGTCAGGGGGGCGGAGGTTCCAACACAATGTATCAGTTACTTTTCTGTTTCTATTATAAAATACCGTGGTCAAGGCAACTTGTAGAAGACAGAGCATATTCTAACTTATGGTTTCAGAGGGATAAGAGTACATCATGGCAGGGAGGATTCACAGTGAGTGGCAGACTTGGTGGTGGGAATAGCAAGCAGAGAGATCACATCTTTTTTCCTTCTTTTATTTAAATTAGAAACAAGCTTGTTTTACATGTCAATCCCAGTCCCCTCTCCCTCCCATCCTCCCCTGCCCCCCCACCAACACACTATCCCATCCCCTTTCTGCTCCCCAGGGATGGTGAGGCCTCCCATTGGCGATCTTCAAAGTCTATCAAGCAGAGCCTAGGCCCTCCCCCCTGTGTGTAAGCTGAGAGAGTACCCTCTATGTGGAATGAGCTCCCAAAATCCATTCATATACTAGGGATAAATACTGATCCCCTACCAGAGGCCCCATAGATCACCCAGGCCTTCTAACTGGCACCCACGTTCAGAGGTTCTGGGTTGGTCCTATGCTGGTTTCCCAGCCATCAGTCTGGGGCCCATGAACAACCCCTTGTTCAGGTCAGCTGTTTCTGTGGGTTACACCAGCTTGGTCCTAACCCTTTTGCTCATCACTCCTCCCTGTCTGCAACTGGATTCCAGGAGTTCAGCTCAGTGTTTATCTGTGGGCGGAGAGATCGCATCTTTAATGGCAAGCACAGAGAGCAGAAAACTAGAAATGTGGTAGGCTTTAAACCCTCAAAATCCAGGGGTGTACTTCCTCCACAAGAATACACCTTCCAACTACATCTCAAAAACTGGAGACCAAGTGCTCAAATACCTGAGCCTGTGGGCAAATCTCTCATTCAAACCACCACATGGCATCTGGGATGAAGACAGCAATCTCTAATCGCAAAACTGGAAAGGCTGGAGTTGCCTGTGGTTCCCAGTGCTTCTAGACCGCAAGGACTGAGGCTTCATCCTTAAGTAAAAGCTCACCTTAAGGGACCTCCCAGTGAGGACCGCTACACAGACCCATCCTGCTTCCTGTTGATGCAATGAGGGTTCACAAGACACTGCTCGGAAAATGAGAGTTCTGTGTTCCTTCCTTTGGTTAGATCATACAATGAGGCAAAGGTTCTTTTTCTTTTTTAGGGGAAGAATTCAATTTATTCAATGCATTCTGCATCAAATCCAGAAATGAGTCCATTGTGCCGTCACTGCATTCTTCTCAAGAAAGACACTTTTCTACTATTTAGCTTCTGCTACATTTTCTTGCTTCTCAGAAGAAGCCGAGTCAGTTCCCTGGGATAATTCTTCCTCAGATAATTCTAATAGAAATCCCATCACACTTCCAATTCTTAGAGCAATTGTCAGAGTTAAATGAAAAAGGGTCTCTTGCACAAGGACTGGCACTTGGTGACACCCAGCTGTGTTGCTTTGCACTGCTCTTCAGAGAGCATCAAGTATGCTGGGGACATACCGAGGCATGGCTGTAGAGTTCCTCCTGGTCCATTTCTGTCCCTTCCACTGTTTGTGAGAAGGAACAGTGTGGCAGATACCCTGTAACTGCCTCATGCAGAAGTCCAAAATACGCTGCCCTCAAATAGCAGTGTTTTTCGGAAGGCCAGTCCCATGATGAAAACTTACTTGCTGGCCAGCATTCGAGTATGATTCTTAGCAGTTTCTCTTATTCCCAATCTCGGTGGGACCTCCATCTGTAGCGAGCCGCCAGTGTGTTCGCGGCTATGGCGCTACCATACTTTTACAACGATCTGAAGTTAAGGGCTAAGGATGTAAAATGAAGACAGAGACAGGAGCTCATTCTTACAAGGAGAATGCCCAAGGCAAAGGTTCTTATGCTCAACAGAATTCTTCATTTAAATGCCGGTTCCTCTGAAAGAGTGACAGTATTTGAAACTGGGGAGTCAAGTTATAGTGAGGTCATGCTAAATTAGCCCTAAATCCTATATAACTGGCGCCCTTATAAAAAGAGGGAAATTGAGACACAAAAACAGACTCGAAAAGTGGGTTTCACATCATGTGACAAAGGAGGCAGGGACTATGGCTGTGTTGCCACAAGCAAAGGGATGTTGAGGGTTGTCAGTGACCACAGGAAGCTAACAAGAGGGCCAGGCCTCAGCCGTAGCCTGCCAGGGCCTTAATCTCTAGCTTCTGGCATTTTGAACAAGAAAATAAATCTCTGTTGTTCCTAGTTGCTCAGTTTGTTGTATTTTGTTTTGGTTTGGCTTTTGTGTTTTGAGACAGGATTTCTCGGTGTAGTCTGGCAGTCCTGGAACTTACTCTGTAGACCAGGCTGTCCTTGAACTCACAGAGATCCACTTGGCCTCTGCCTCCCGAGTACTGGGATTTGTGCACTACTGCCACACAGCTGTAACATTTTTTTATAGCATCCCTAAGAAACAAATACAATTTTATCCTCTGCACTAATGATAATTTTATTTTGGCTTTACTTGGTGATTTCATGCATGCAGTCAGAGGTGAGTTTTTTTTGTCCTGCCCCATTCTGAAGCTACTTAACCAAATTACCACACAGGAGGCATATGTTAATTATAATTGTCTGGCCAATGGCTCGGGCATATTACTGACTAGCTCTCACAATTAACTTACCCTGTTTCTATCAGTCTATATTTTGCCAAGATGCTCGTGGCTTGTTACCTCACATCTTGCTTCTCTGGACACTACAAGGCATCTCCCTAACTCTGCCTCCTTTCACTCTCCATCTTTGTTTGAATTTCCCACCTGGCCCTATTCTGCCTGGCCATTGGTCGAAACAGCTTTATTCATCAACCAATAAAAGCAACAAACATTTGCAGCATACAGGAGATCCCACATCACACGCTTATCTCTTTATCATACTATAAGCTCATAAATCCTCGAATCTAGTCTGTCTGTACGGCTGTTTACTCTTTACCAGCACAGTGCCTGGCCCATGGTCACTCAGTACATATTTGTTGAAATGAAAGCATGTGCTTATCAAAAGAACATTTACTCTATAGAGTGAGTCCAAGGTCCCTAATAGCTTCAGTTTTCGGTCTTTAATTACATATGCCCTAGGTACTGATTGTGTCTCCTTCTTACTCCTCGGTTGATTTTTAGCCAGGACCTTCTTTGTGTATGTATCCAAGCTCTACAGTATCTAAGATGGCAGTTCTCACAAAGCTGAAGGCTCCATATCTAGGCATGGGGACTCTTGCTTACAAGTTCAGCAACAATGAGTCTGAACCAGGAGGAGTTCCACAAGTTCCCTAGCAACCTGGCTGTGTAATGAGCTCCAGGCCAGCCTGGGCTACAGAGAAAGATCCTGTCTAAAGGGAAAGTAAATATCCCACATCCTGAGAAATGCATCATTAGGAGATTTCCCCATTGTGGGTTGTCACAGAGCATATTTACATAAAGTTCAATGGATTTATCTGGTGGTACACTGGTCTCTATGCCATAAATATGTGGCACTTTCTGTTTCTCCTATGGTCATGATGAACAGAACAACACAAGTTTATATCACATCCCAACTAAACAGGAGATTCAATAAATATTTTTTGGTAAGCAATGAATGAAATTAATACATATCCCAGGTGGCTTCAACTGCATTAAAGCTATTTTATGTGCCATCTGATAAAACTATAGTTAATTTTGAAATCCTCTGTAGAAATATGTGTAGTTAGGTTCCTTCTAAATATAATCATGTGTGTGCACACACAATTTATTGTATGGATCTGCTTTGCTTCCCTGCACACAGACCGCAGAAATCCAGAGGAACAAACTGCTGCCTCAGAGCTACGGACTAACACAGGCATTTTTAATCCTTGAAGTTTTTCTATGGCTGAGCAATGCTTTTTTCAAGTGCAATAACACTGATACACAGACATATTTATTGTCTACTCACAAAGTCATTCCTCAATATGATTACCGCACGCCTCCCTGAATACCATTAAAAAGCAAGGTCTCATTTTTCTAGGATGGGTTAACTGAAGTTCTGCATGAGAGCGAGTAATGGGAAGTATGATTTCTCTAGCCCCCTTTGGCCTTTTGAGTCTGGCTCCACCCTTGCTGATCTACTTTCAAAGTCAAGGCAAACCTCTTGCAAACTCTGACATCTTTCAAGCAACTCTTTTGGTTCTTTACACATTCCCAAGAGCTTAATAAATACTATTTTTGCAGCTTTCTTGGTGGCAAAATAATGAGTCCTTAGTGTGAGCTCAGCCTCTGCTTGCTTTGTGATGTGAGAAGATATATTCAAATCATTTTAAACAAAATTCAAGGACAGGAAGCAGTCTTAAAAACTGTCAAAATTTAAGTGTTCAGTAACTGTGCCATACTGTATATTCTAGAAAGGGCTATTGTTTTAAAAGATAAATCATACCTTGTTGAGGAATTTAAAATATAATCTGAATATATTAACAACTGAAATGCTCCAATTTACCAGAAGTTCTCAATGAAACTGTGACCTTGTGTAGGCAAGGGCCTATGGAAACAGATGTAAGACCATGGCGGTACCTCCTCATGGGATCAGCAGTGATACCAGTGTGTTGTCACTAGTGAGTGAGCTCTGCAACGTTCCTCATCTCTCTTGCCTCTCGTTTGTTCATATGAGCAGCTTCACTGAGATGCCAGCATACACATTGTCTCAGACCCTCTGCTTGCCTCCCTACTTCCTCCCTTGCCCAATGAATCTTTGTTTCAGTGGTCGGAAAAGCCACATGCCTGTATCATGGTGTTTTAATTGCACTCTATATGGTAGACCGAAAGCTTCTATAAAGTCATCAACTGTCATTTTCAATAGTATAAATATCTACCATTTGGGGACATCATCAATATTCAATGGGTTGTTTTAAAGTGTTGCTATTTTGAATAATGGTTCAATGAACAATTTTATACATCTAACTTTCTGTCTCTTATTTCCTAAAGATGCATCCCAGGACTATAATCACTCACAATTTATTAAGCATATAATCCTGATAAGAGAAAGAAGTTTGAAGCAGCTAATCTTTCCCCTAGTTAAATATCTGTCCTCATGTATTGCTTAACAACAAGGACACATTCTGAGAAATGCATCATTAGATTTCTTTGTTTCGTGATGTCATAGGGGATACATATATAAAGCTCAATGGTATATCTTGTGGCGCACTGGTCTCTATGCCAGGGTCATGATGAACAGAAAGAGCAAAAGCAGATTAACTCAAGCCCCAAACAATGGTGCAATGAAGGCGTGCAATGAACAAAGACACATGAGGCTGCTGCCGTCATAAAATAACACCTGCTTTATAATACACGGCTTTATATCCTTTGCTTGTTTGTTGCTTCCTTTTCCTTTTGTAGTTAGGGAGTCTACTTAGGAGTGAAAGCAGTATGATATAGTAAATATGTAATCCAGATCACAGTGACCAATTGTCATTATCAAATCTTATACACTATGAAAACTTGATCATCATTAGGCTGTGTCCATAGGAGAAGATACTGAGAACCGAGTGCCTTCTGCCTGCCTTTCTCTTCCCAGCTGTGGCGAGGCAGACAGCCTTCCTCCACCAGGTGCTCCTGCCATGATGCACTGTGCTGCCACAGGCCCAAAGCAAGGAGAGAGCCAAGCAACCCTGAACAGAGACCTCCGAAACTGTAACCAAGGTTTGGTGCAGTGGTGGAGGACTAACAGAGGTCCTTCCTTCACGTGAGTGATAGCTTATGGCATCTCAGTTCACCAAGCTCTGAGTTCCTTTTCACTGGACAAGCTGGTGTGCTCTATCCCCTCAGACTTAGACACCAAAACCTGTATTAGAAAGCGAATTCACATAAGGTCTTATTAGAAGTGGTGGATACAGAATGTCAGTCTCTTTGCAGTGGTCCCTATACATTCAGTGACAAGGACCACACTTGATAGTAGATTGAACAAGAACAGAACACACTAGAAGGGCCCAAGATCAGGTTCATCTGGTGCTGGACAGAATATTAATGCAGACGGTTTTTAGCAAAAGATCCCATTGGAAAGTCCAGTTGCATGGAGTCTTCCCAAACAAGGAATCAGCAAGAGGTCAGTTAGCAGGTGTGATCTGTAAAAAAGACAAAGACCTTAGGAAAATACTCTCTATAGAACTTAGTGACTATAACCAATTGGATGGAAGGCAGAACCCTTTTGAAGAATATAGGTAAGCTTCAGATTTGGGATTTGTGGTAGCTTTAATATAATTGGTCTCCCCTTGGGTAGTAGATCAGTATTTATCCCTGGCATACAAATGGACTTTGAGTGCCCATCCCACAATGAGAGATGCTCTCTCATCCTGGACTCTTGGGGGAGGGCCTAGGCCTTGCCCTAGATGAAATGACAGACCATGGATACCCCCCATGGAGGAGGGTGTAGGAGGAAGGGAGGGAGAGGGAGAGGGAGCTGAGATTGACATGTGAAGCAACCTTGATTCTAATTTAAATTTAAAAATAAAATTTAAAAAATATAATTGGCCCCCATAATCTTACAGGGAGTGGTACTATTAGAAGGCGTGGCTTTGTTGGAGGAACTGTTACTGTGGGGGCAGGCTTTGAGTTTTCTCAGGATACTGTTCAGTGTCTCAGTCGACTTCCTGTTGCCTGCAAGAGGTATGACTCTTAGCTACTTTTCCAGCATCATGTCTGCCTGCATACGTCCATGCTCCCTGCCATGAAGATAATGGACTGAACCTCTGAAAGTGTAAATGAGCCACCACAATTGAATGTTTCCTTTATAAGAGTTGCATGGTCATGGTGTCTCTTCACAGCAATAGAAACCATAACTAAATAACAGCTCACAATAATAATTAAGAATAAAATTGGAGAGATGGAGAGATGGCTCAGCAGGTAAATGTACTTACTGCCAAGCCTTATGACCTAAGTTTGATCTCTGGGACTCTAGATAGTAGAGAAGAGAAGCAACTCTCAAAAGTTAGCCTTTCACCTTGACACTTACATACACATGCACACAAATTAATTCATTAAACGTAATTTTATTTTTAAAAAGGTAACAATGAAGGATTGTTGTAAGAATTAATATATAAATTTGAAATTTTAATATTGAAGAAATTTTATAGAAGACTAATGTTTTATATTAAATTCAAGGGCACTGAATTATTTTAAAAAATGCTTAAGCCTTTGTCCTTTCTGGCTTTCAGTTTGTTTGGGGATTTTGTGAGTTTGGAGGTATTGGGGATTCCTGAGATCCACAAGGTAGAATGCTAATCTTAAAATATGTAGCTCACAAAATTAAAATATCTGAAGGTATCAAAGCCTAATAACTAAGTTAGCAATACCAAATTTCATGAAATAGAATATGAAGAAGAGATCATCATCTACCTCCAGGCACACTGATGAATATTGTGTTATATGAGAGAGAGTGTAGTTCTAATGGTTAAAAGACTGAGTAAGAGTGTGTGTTGTTAACATACCAACTATGAAAGCTTGCTTGTGCTCATTTTGTTTACTCTTAAAATTAGCATCCAACCCGGGCAGTGGTGACATATGCCTTTAATCCTAGCACTGTGAGTTTGAGGCCAGCCTGGTCTAAAAAGGGAGTTCCAAGACAGCCAGTGTTGTTACACAGAAAAACCCTTTCTCAAAAAAAAAAAAATATATATATATATGTACATCCAGCTTGCTCCAATGCTCTTACCAGAGAATGTCAGTAGAACCTTCAAAGTTTCTACCAGCCAGCATGTCTGTCTTCTATATGCCAACCTGTGACCCCAAACACTTGACATTCCTTATGCATAATCTCTCTGCATGTCACAATAATAATTCATTATATTCAATGCTACAATTAGTGTTTCAACATAGATGACTTATCTCCTGAAAAAAACTGCACAAGTCATGCATATTTTATTTGAGTACTTTATCTATAATATAAAATCGAGTTGCCTCCATTATCATGAACTCTTTAGACAGGAACAGTGGGAGCTGAACAGTCTCTGCAGGAGCTTTTTCTTGCTGACCACATATCCTCATGGGTGCTTACTTAATAGAGGCTCCGCTTTACTGCATACCAGTGGCAAAGATACTATTTGTTTGCCAAGCTGTTTTCTGTCCTTCGTAAATACTCAAGATCTCATTTCCTTGCCTTCTTTCATCTCACTGAGGTGCTGTGACTACTTCTAGACAGCAAGATGACCAAAGGGAATGCATACTACTTGTTCTTTACAAATTCTTTATCTACATAGCCAACCTGGAGGCCATGTAGCAAGGGGCATTGAGTGTGCAGTCTTGATTTCCAGTTCAGTTTTGAAAAGACCGTTTCATGAGAACAGTCTGACCAGAATGTCTGCCCTGCCCCTGTGTGAGCTCTACTATATTGTTGGGGGAAGTCCTGTGCATTTGTCAATAAAGTACTGTTGAGCCTATAGGGAACCAAGATAGGAGGGACTAGGAGTCCAGGAGGATTCTGGGAAGGAGAAAGACAAGGAGTTCGAGATGTAACGCATGGGGTAGGAGCCCAAAACTATTCTCCGGTAAGAGACATACTTAGATTAACAATTATGGGGTAATTACTTAAGGCAGAGGTAGCCAGAAAGAGACAAGCAAGGCCAACAGCTTCATAATTAATACAGCGTCTTGTGTGTTTATTTGGGACTGATGCGGCTCTAGAACCAGGCTGGCGCGGCAGAGCCCAGGCGACTGGCGGGGGATAAACCAAAGCGGCTAGCAAAGAAAAAGCTTCTCTTAACACTATATTCAATGCCCAAGACATAAATGCTGTGATTATAGTAACTGACATGAATTACCTTGACTAGAACAACTTTTTTGTACCTGCTATCTGGAAAAGTGGAATGCTTCCTATGTGTTTATTGAGTTGATTACATTTTTTTTCATATCCCAGTAGTTACTGATTTCCCTTTACCTCATTTTAAAGGGTGATCAAGAGCTAAAATAATACTACCCTAGCCAAGTGGATAATTGATTGGCTCGAAACCTTTTGAAATGCAGATTCAGATGTGCTACCAACACCGAGATTCTGTAGGTTTTTCAGATGGAACATCAAGATTTATACTTTCTATACAGCTTTCTGAGAGGTCTCAAGCTGTCCAAATAGCCAGAAATGAAATCATGCTGTGTTATAGGATTTCTGACTGTTAGAAAAAACCCAGAATTCCTCAAGAACTTGTGAAATCAATTCCTATCTGCCAAAAGGAGCCATTTCCCTTACCTGTGACAGAAGAGACATATGGCTCCATTGACATATACCTGTGGCTGCATATCAAAGCCTATGACTCCAGGCTCTCTCAGTCACTACTCATGAGTACTTGTTATACATTTTAAAGTTCTCATGCAAGTCTCCTGGCATTTCCTTCCCCTCAGCTACTCATCACCATCTATGGTAGTTAAATGTAATTGCCCCCCATAAGCTCATAGGGAGTGTCACAATTAGGAGGTGTGGTTTTGTTTAAGGAAGTATGATCTTGTTGGAGGAAGTATGTCACTGTGGGGGGTGGGCTTTGAGGTCTCATATATGCTCAAGCCATGCTCAGTGTTTCAGATCACTTCCTGTTGCCTACAGGATCAATATGTAGCTCCTTCTCCACTCTCAGATCCTTTTCCAGCACCATGTCTGCCTGTTTGCTACCATATCCCACCATGATGAAAATGTGCCAAACCTCTGAAACTGTAAGCAAGCCCAATTAAATGTTTTTTCCTTTACAAGAATTGCCATGGTCATGGTATCTCTTCACAGCAAAAAAAAAGCCCTAACTCAGCTTATTCTCTACTTATGGAGGAGCACGGATCATGTCCCAGCAGGAGGGGGAGTGGCCCAAGCAGATGACTGTCGCACCAAACGAGAGTGGCCCAAAGCTGACCACAGGCGCCATTACAAGATGGGCTACGGAAGCAGAAGCGAGGCTTCAAGTGTTTACTAAGAAAAACAATTGACTGCCCAAACTCACACTGGATGAGGTCATCGCAGTCGCAGACAACGTCCAACAGGGGATAGGACACTAGATACATCACAGGAACACCTGTAAAATTATTGGGTAATACTTTTCCCGCCCTGCGGTTTTTCACTTTAAGAGGGCTCCAGTGTTACACAATAAAGGAGATCTTGCCTGACTCGACTCCCTGTTGTGCCTAATTGTCTCCAGGTTTCAGGGAGGCTGCAGAACTGGCAAACAGTGCACTCTACCCTCTCCAACCTCGGACCGGGGGACCACAGAGAACCCCGACATCTACTGTTCTCTACTATCTCTATGGTTATTCTTTCTTATTCTTTTATTCTCTCTCTCTTTCACTGTGTTCCACTCCCTCCTTTGCTCTCTCACTATCTCCACTATTTCTCCTCACTCACCCACTTCCTAGCCCTGTACATGTCCAGTCTTCTGACCATGTCCGGTGTTCTTTCTCTGCCTTCCATGAACACCTACTCTGGATGTTCTCTCTCTCTCTCACATCTACAATAAAAACCTTAGCCATATCACAGATCAGTCATGTCCCCAGTTTCCTTACTACACCTCCTCACACGCACCTTCCACGTGATTTTCATTTACAGTAGTTAATTTTTAAAATTACTATCTTAGAGCTTTCACAAGAAAAAAAGTAGAGACTGTCTCTGTCCCTTGGTCACCAAGGACAATGTCTTGAACACAGAGTCTATTTAAAGACCACTCACAAAATGGCAGCTACTAGCCTTAGGAGAAATAATGAAGGTGGTTGTATTCACTGAAACATTCCCTCTCCTTTACTCTCTTTGATAGACAAGGTTCTGTGTTTCCTTCCTCTTGTCAAAATCTATTCTAAAGTATAATAAAGAGAGAAGGAGAGGGTGGAAGATATAAGAACTCCTTATACACATTCGCACTCAATATAGCAAGAAGTAAAACTATGACAAAAGACCCATTTGAAGGCCAGGTTTCAGTTCTACAACAAAAAATAGTTGCTAAAAAATGAAAATCCAAACTGCTCAAAATTAAAGTCTCAATTCCCTTATTATTTGCACTAATATACTCAAAAAAACAAAGCAATAATAGTATAGGAAAAAAAATCATAAACCGACCCAATCTGAAAAGTACACTTACTTTGTCAAATGCTAGCAAATGTTACT